ATGGTTTTTTTTAGCATGACATTGATACCCATAACTAAAGCCACGTTCAGAAAATATGAGCTTACCTAATCTGCCAACATTTGGAAAGTATTTGATCGGTTTCATTTTTCACCACAGGACTCCTGCTCAGCAAATAATCATTTACAATGTGACCATACCCTCACTTATTGGGAGCTCTAACTTGGGGTTCGTTTGTAAACTGACTGAGGGAAGTGTCTCTGAGAATTTATGTTATCCTTGTCCTCTTGGAACATATGCAGGGATGCAAGGGACCTGCGCTCCATGTCCTGCAGGTAGTTGATTACATGGCGATTGAAAAACTTTCTCTCTCCCTATTAAGATATTTATACACTCGTTTTCAAAATATGTGTATTTCATATATATTTTCATTGCCGCAACGTTTTTGAAAACGGTGTAGATTTATACATATATATATACATAAGTTAAAGAATTAAAGAGGACGCATCGATTCTCTGTGACTCTGAGTTTCGCAGCCAAGCGCTCGTCAGACAGAGCGTCTGTCTGACGAGCGCTTAGGCGCGAAACTCAGAGTCACAGAGAATCGATGCGTCCTCTTTAATTCTTTAACTTATGTATACTTAGCTCTGCTACCACAGCATTGAGCACTTTATGCCAAGGTAGACTCTACCACCACATTCATTTATATATATATAAATTTATTAATTGAAAGAAAAGGAGAAATTACAACATTGTACTACAAAACTGTTCCCAAATGTCTTGCTAATCCTCTCTCGTCAGGTGCATGGAACACTGAACAATTAAGGTTCCTTTTAGAGGCTGATCGTTCAAGCATCTGTCATCAAGTATTTCCTCGCATGCCGGCACGCACTCGTCAGCTCATTCTTTTTTTCATCCATTTTTGACGATAAACCAATCATTTTCACACTTGTGCTACAGGTGGTTTTTATCAAGATGAACTGGCCTATTCCGGTACTGGATGTAAACATTGCCCGTTAGGTCATTTCGTGACACTGGAATCCAAACCAGGAAAAGCCATAACAGATTGTATTTTGTGCCCTCAAGGTTCGTGAACGACTATAACTTAAAATGATTGTATAAACTGTTTTATGAGCCATCAGCTTAGGGTATGAAATTGTTTAAGGTTAGTAAAAAAAGTTTTTTGGTTAGATGAACAGCAGAATTACTACAATTTAATTTTTCTTTTCCCTGTTCTTGCTTAAAGGTCGAGAAGTTCAAAATAGCAATTAGGAAATTCTTCTCTAGCTTCCACCATCGACTGTCTAAAAGTGTAACGTTAGGGTGCATGCGTCCAAATTTAAAGTACTCGTAATGGTGGCCACTTAAGGTGATCCTCAGGAAAAAAGTTACTGAGTTTTTTTTCAAAATTTCCTAAAATGATCCCAACCAATCCCTGTTTAGAAAAGTGCAAAGAGGAGATAGATCACCGAGCTTGCATAACCCTCTACGCCCTAACATCAGTACGCATATTCTCCATACTGTTCTCTAAACATTTCCCAAGATGCCGACATGGAGAATTAGTCTAACAATCAAGAGCTTCTTTAGTCAGTGATCAGCTCCTTTATTCTCCTGACCTCAATGTTTGATTTAGGGTGATATGGTAAGAAGAAATTAGATGTCAGTCACTCTTGGGGGTTAAAAGATTAAGTGATATGATGGGCCAATCTTACTGCATTGATGCTATTACTGGTACAACAAGAAAATATAAACATCAGTTGATATTTTTTTTCCTGATTTCGTAATTTTTATGCGCCGTACAAGATGTGCATTGTAATACTGAGGAATCACCTTAAAGTGCCTATGACACGAAATTTTTTTTTGCGTTTTTTGGTTGATAACTGCATTCACAATCAGAAATAACTGACTTAAGCGGCTTGCGAGTTCTCCTTGACCATTTTTTTGTGCATTGAAAGTACGATTTTTTACGTCATCACCCGCTGATTCGTTACCAGTTCACGGCACACTTGTAAGACAAAATAAGAGCACTTTAGGGCCAGGAAAATACTTGTTTTAATTTTTCTTCTATCGGAATTGGTTTGTACATATGATAAGCAAAATATTTACGCAAACAAATTTTTCGTGTCACAGGCACTTTAAGTAGGACTGGCGAGTATTTTCAAGATTATTCATATTGAGCGAGCAAAAATATATTTCTCTATTTCTTCGGCCTCTGTGCCTAGACTAGAATTAGTATAAAAGCTCTATTCAGACGGCGACACTATTTGGTTCAACAAGCCTTTATCGTTGATGACTTTCAATTTCATCTTAAATGTTATGCGATGAACAACAAAGCCACGTTTGTGTTTTTTACATTTTACGTTTATTTACGTTTTACGTTTACGTTTTTTGTTTCAGGCACCCAATATACAAAGTTTGCTGGCTTTAAAGGGTGCGAGTGCTTACCGAATTTTTATCGAATGGATCGATTTGGCCAATGCATGCAATGTCTATCACGAGGACTATCATGCCAAAACGAGTCAGTGAGGCTACAGCCAGGATTCTATTGGAAATGGCCATCGAACGACAGTCTCACGAAATACCAAAAATTCTCAACAGATCTTTTAGTCAACAGTGACTCCTACACACTACTCAGATTCCAAGGAACAGTGCCGCCGGTTTACGAATGTCTAGCAAAAGAGGCATGTCTTGGAGGTATGGAGTCGAAGTGTTCCTATGGATACGAGGGTCCATTATGCGCCGTTTGCAGTAAAGGACATTACCAATTGTTCAACCGCTGTCGCAAATGTCCCAAACTACTTTGGTTCATTTTGCAAGTGAGTGGTATCACCATCATATGTACTATTCTCACAGCAAGCGTGATTTTGGGAAGGAAAAAAACTTGTGCATCCGGTAGAAAAGTGACTGACATGATGTTAGCTCGTCTTAAGATCGTCATTGGCTTTTACCAAGTCACATATGGAACCTTAAACACGTTCTCTTACGTTGAATGGCCCAATGCGTTATGGACGCTTGTGCATTATGCAAACATAGTGCAGCTGAACTTACTGGATATTATACCGTTGCAGTGTATCAGCAACGGAATAACAGTAAATGCGTACACCAGATTACTAGTTGTAATTGGGCTACACACGGCACTTCTCATCCTTGCAACTCTAGTCTACCAGCTTAGGAAACTGCTGCTTTTTAAAAAGGGGCTCAATAATTTGGAATTGACTGAATCTCTGTCCGCTGAAAGAACTCAGGTCTATCGGATTGTTTCCCTCTTGGTTTTTGTGACTTTCCCCTGGACTTGTACCACCATCTTAAGCTTTCTGTCCCCAACATGTCAACAGATTTGCTCCAGCACAGACGTGTGTCAGTCTTTCTTGCTCGCCGACTTCACAGTCCAGTGTTTCACCGAGAAGTACAACAGATATACAATAGCTGTTTATTTCTTACTTCTACCTGTTGTAGGTGTACCAGCCGTAGTTCTCTTTTTACTATGGAGGTACTTCCATAGAAAGATCCACGACCAAGAGGAAACCCAACATCGCAAAGGAAGGGAAATGTCTATTGGTCTCAGTTTCCTGTACGAAAATTATGCTCGGCAGTGTTGGTTTTGGGAACTTTTCGAGCTGATCAGAAAAGTAGGGGTGACGTCATTACTCTTGCTTATGGGGGCTAACACACGAAGTTATTTGGGTGCTGCTGCCATAACATCAGGGATCTACACTATTTTAGTGGCTTATTTCAAGCCTATCAGGGACACGTTTGAACATTGGTTGCAGCTTGTGGCACTTATCGCAAACTTTGTCACCTTAAACGTTGGGATGCTATTAAAAATACCAATTGACGAGGTTTCATTGGAAAGCCAGAGAGAAAGAGACAGTAACTTTGTTTCAGTCATATTGGTGGTTGTAAATGTAACCGTTATAGCCGTTGTGGCAGGTAAGAATTTAAGTTCTATGCTAAACGTACCATGTATAAAAGCTAGTGACATCCCCACAGTACGAGTCAATGAGCTCAATTCCTCTTATGGTCCCCTTTGAAAATAGAGAAATATTTATGTTCCAATGTAGGTGCATAACACAGGTGTAATGTCTTAATCAGTTCAAGCTAAAGAACCATTTATTCCACAACACAACTTGTGCCGAACACTAACAACAGCGTTAGACAGAGACAGCCAACCCATGCAACAGCAAGATAAACTGAACTTTCTTCATTGATTTCGCATTTAACAACTAATACAAAAAGTATCGCTGATGTAGCATTCACCTTAGTCAGATGTTTCTTTCCAAACCAATAGTTGACTTTGTCCTCTTGAATTGCAGTGCAGTACATCTCTAACTTCGTCAATTCCATAAATTATGTGAGAAAAAATCCTCAGTGTGGAGCTAGCTGCTGCGCGACATTCATGATGATTATAGTTGGGGCAGGAGAAGATGCCACGGGGCTGGAAACTAAAGACTCATCTCCGGTCCAGGCAACTCGGTCTCAGACAAGAAACATCACCGAGCTAAGATCTTAAAGTAGACAACAAGACGCTTACAAAACAGAAAATAGAAGTTTTTTTGTCAAGAATTCTTCCTCTGGTTAATGAGAGAATAGTTGTTAACGAATACGGATGATTCTTTTGATTTTGGATTATACTAAGCAATCCCAAACATACTATATCCCCGCATCAGCGTAAAAAAATTATTAAGTAGATTGTAGAGTAGAGTAATATGTATTCTTGTTATGATGCAATTGCAAATTAAGAGCTTATCTCGTTAGATCGTTGTTTATTAGCAGTGACATTCCAACCAACTCGTGTTTGAAACAAAAAGGAATCAAGCTTTCCAAGGGAATCATAGCGCCTAACAAGATTGCAGTTAACAAAATGTAAAGCTTATAGATTACGATCACTTCCAAGTATATCAATCATTGTATAATAAGCTGAATTGTACGTGCAAATTGATTGGTTCTTAGTCAGTTATGGTCCAATGGAGGACAGACGAATAGATGACGTTCACTAACGACACTTTGGTTCCTTTAAGTAAAACAAATAGTCGTTATCACCGTGTCATTCCACGAGTTTTAATGAAAAAGACAGGATACTTACAGTGGTAATAAGACAAATCTGATTTGGTTTAATTCAGTTTGTGTGCCAAGCTGACTCACTTCCACCAAATACTACGTAACTTTCAGTTGGTAAACATTGTGAAATGACAAAACACCGCTATTCTGGTTTTAATTGTTTATCTAGATTATAACTCACAACCCAACCTCTCTCTCTCTCTCTGCTTACAGCTATGGCAATGTACTTATCACTACTCTAGCATGCTATTTTTTGAAACTTAAAAGCCAGGACCACAAGGATGGGGAAAGGATGGAGGGGGGGAAGGTTTTGTTTTAACGAATTATTATATTTATTTGATCAGCCTTTGATCTCAAATGCTGTTGAATGCAGGTAAGACTTTAAATATTTAGTGACAGCAACATACTTAAGTTATTTTTCGGCGTTGATTCAGTTAAATACAAGTACTTGTATCAGCCAGATAATTTTAAGAGATTATAATCTCTTGTATCAACCCAGTTAATGGAATTTCACTATACAATTAAAACAGATCCACAAATAAGCAGAAAGGTTCTCAATCGCTGTTTCACTGACATTTGTGCCTTGTACCCTAAAATTCTTCCTAGTCATCATAAAACACACGCATTTCACGACTCAACCTCCACAGCTGGCCTGTGAACTTTAATCAGACACGTGGACATCACATGGCATCAAAATGGAATTTGTGTGCGTCTTGGCGCTTCTCTCTTTGGTCCTCTCTCTGGAAGAGAAAAGAAAACACGCCTTTTTATCACCCGATGCACCTAAAAAATCCAAAATGGTAACCTCCCGCAAAGCCATAATTTCAAGCGAAAAGAAACATGTTCTGTCGTTAGGGAATTCAAAACAGCGGAAAGGCTTTATGGCAAACGTTTGTATTGGAGGGGGAGCAATGGACCATTTGTCAATCCACTCACAGCTATATACGCTTGTCTCGGACCTTTTTCCAGAATATTTGTAATTTCACGTAATATCAAGACACATTTTTCCAGTCAGCTTGATGGCCAATTTCTTTAATTCTCATCGCTTCTCAAAACAAAATTTGATGAGAAACATTGAACACATCTCGCATGAAATTTCGGGTGAAAAATTAAACAATACTTGGTGGATTTCAATCGAGGCGAGAAACAATAATATTAAAGTGTTTGTATAATCGGCTGAAATTCGCTTACCTTCTCCTTCAGATGCAACAACAAGATAACAAGACCAATAAAGACACAGATGCCCAAAAGACTGACACCTGTCAATAACACCAGTTTGCTTGGGGTAACGAACAACTTTGCAGTCCAACTAAAACAAAAATGAAACTTGAAATAAGGAAACGTTTCTTAACTTTTGGAATATCGCTGTTTAGTTGTCTTGAGGAGGCTTTCTTTTCAGCACTTTATAACAGTATTTTTTTAGTTCACAGGACTCGATCAAACAACCAAGTTGCCTGTCTAATTTAAGATAATCAGCAAGGAAGGTGTTTTATTCATGTGAAGATTTAATAGTCTCTTTGTCACCTTGAGAGGCTGTCGGGCGGGTAAGGAACCACGATGACTTGTGAATTCGGTATAATAGAACTCCATACACGTTTTCTTTCAGACTGCAACAAATAAAAATTACATGTGAGGATGAAGAACAATTTTAAAACGAGATATAAAAAATAGAAAGGAGCCTCAGCAGTATTTTTTTCTCTTCATTTCATTTTATTATCTTTACCCTATGTAGTCACGTGAAGTGTAAGGAAAGCGAGCGCCTGTTCTTGTAAAAATAATACTCCGAGAGGGAAGACTTTCGACCGCGTTAAGAAAAAGCCGTTGAGTGCTACATCTCTTGGCACGGCTTTCATTTATGTGTTCTTAAAAGACTTGGGGCAGAGACAATGATCAGTTAGCCTTACAGAGCCTTTTGATCTTGGAATTCCTACAGCAAGCTCATCAACAAAGTTGGGTGTTCTTCCCAAGCCAAACACAGTGTAAGGACATTGAAGGGCAAAGTAAGCTGACTGAGACAGCTGAGCGGCTGAAAAAATAACAAACAAAGCAATCAACATTCGTAAGTAAAGGGAAAATCCAGCGGGGGGAAAAAATAGGAATGGTCTATTCCAACTAAACACAGGGCAATATAGACTACGTGGAAGCAAAGAAAGAAAGAACGAATCAAGCATTCAGAACAAGTGCCAGTTTTGCGACTCTCAAGTGGGCGGACAAAAGAAAGGAGCAAATAACTCTTTGTCTCGCGCGCGACTCGGGTGTCGCGCACGCCTCGCCTTTGGGTCCACTTTAAGGCCAAAAATAACGCCTACTCTACATGCGAAGGAAGGCATATGAAAGCTGTCAGACGCCTTTGAATTTTACCAGCATACGTCAATTCAACTGCTCACAGTAAAAAAGTTCTCCTGTCATAGTATACACACCAGTGTTTACCTTCTACACAGTCATCAATGCCGTCCAACTTACCATTGCCGTACTTTATTTTCCCGTCTGTACTTGTGGTGGTGTACCTTATGTATGGTCCAGTCAAACTTACACCGTAAGGCTAGGACAATGACGATAAAAATTACGTCTCCTTCAAAATGCCTCTAAATTCATCCCATAAATCATCTCAGTTATACTATATGCAGTGTGAAGAATCGGAATCGGTCATCTAGTCGTCCTCCTGTTTTACCGATGTATAAATTCTTGCAACAAGTGTAAGTTATGCAGTAGATGACATTGGCAGAGGTGCACGTGAAGTGATCAGTGATCTTCATGGATTTCTTGGCTCCCGGTATTTTCTCTACGTTATGATCGAAAAGAAAAGTTTTGCATGCGTGCATCGCATTTGAAAGTTCCAAGTTGGTCATTGGTTTGAAATGAACTTCTAACGAAAAAGTTGCCGATATTTTTGTCGCGTTTGAATGAAATTAGAGAAGGTTGCGAAAAGATAGTACCAGTCTCTGAATCGTTTTGAAGTAATTTAACGTTTCTAAGAATGACTAATTTAACTACGCAAATGTGAGGGTGAAATGTGAGAGTGAATGGAATGCGATCGGTATTTTCCTTCTATGCCGTTTGTAGTGCTGACTGTCGATCAATTTGTTGGGCACAGTGGTGGCCCGCCTGGACGACAGAAACTAGCCACGTTTATCGAAAAACTGGCATATTACTTCTGATTTTTTCGGAGAAATCAGAGTCGTCACTACATAAACGAATTAGTCTGAGAAACTGTGAGAAAGGCATGAAATACTTGACGTGTGATGGATGGAAAGATAAATGCAACAAGTAACTATGTGAGTCTGTGGTTTGTAGTTAACACTAGTGCAAAGACCTAAATAGCTGGAAATAAGTTCGGTGGGACAACTGCAAGTAGAGACGATGAGTCGAATTTGGTTGTTAGGTTTGTGGATTTTAGGTAAACAGTAAATAAACGAAGTTCTCGGAGTGGTGGTGGTGAGATTTTTTGCAGTGGCCGACAATTCTTGTTTAGCAATAAGATCATTAATCGTGTTTTTGACAATTTTTTGGTCGATGAATGTAAAATCTTTGTCAACTATTTCGTTTAAAGAGGTGTCAGAAAGTTGCCTTAACGCTTCTTTTTGGTAGAGGTCGGCCCACCAAACAACGACTGCGCCGCCTTTGTCAGCCGCTTGAGAACTATGTCTTTGCGTTTTTTAGACTTTTTAGTGGCGATCACTCTTCCGACGGAAGGTTGGAAAATCTGGTGTTACGATTGAATTTAAGTTTGTTAATATCATGACGACATTTTTAATAAAAAATCTAAAGATACGAACTGGCCCTCTGAGGGACTCCATTAAGACTTTGGAATCTGAAATGTTTCGAAAGTATCTTTGTTCGAGGTGTTAGAATCACCCTCTTCGTCGGAGTTTTTCAACGTCTTGCTAAAAATTAGTCGGGTTTTTTGGAAATAGAACGAAATAGAAGCCCTTATTGAGAACTGATTTTTCTGAATTGGAAAGTGGAAATTTTTCTGTAACGGTAACTCCGGTTTTTGAGCCTTTCACTAGTAGTTTGCCGACCGATAAGTTGGTGGACGTTTTGGGTCTTAATTTGGTGCAAATGGTTAAAAAGGGGAAGTAAATGGTTTGTTAAGTTATACCAAATTTAAAATCAGAAGGGATCAATCCAAGCAAGTCAGTGAAATACAAAAGAGAATCTTGGAAACTTACCAGGTTTTCATTTTCACAAGAAGTTAACGTTCTGCCTCCTACGACTGATTTAAAAACGCTTGGTTAGAAAAGAAGTTCTTTTGTTTACCTCTGCCACTAGAACATTTATCAGTAAATCTGGCGCCACGAAAACTGGACTTTCTTTAACTTCTCTAAGGTATGGTAAAAAAACCCTCCTTGTCGAGAGAAAATAATGTCCCTTGTAATGACATATTCTTCTCTCAAAGGCATTATAGAAGATTCCTTCATCACATATTTAAAACGTGTGACCCCATGAACCGTTTAATTCGTGCTTGTGTTGGAGTCAAGCCTGATACTTTGCCGTGAAAGACTGCGCAACGAACGGAAATGCGCCATCTTTTCGCAAAAAGATATGTGTATTGGTCGTTCCATGGCATGACACGTGACAGACCCAACAGGCCACAAAGGCCATACAGGCCGAAAATGATAAATTTGTATTTGTTTTAAGCTGATTCTTCCGTTTGTATCAACGTTCTTTTTTTCTTTTTCCTTTTTCACTTTTCTGTATTGTCCAGCAGTCACCTATCATCAATATGTTCCCAGAATGTCACAATTGACTGAGGAAATACTGATTTATCAATGCAGCCAGTTTGCACATTTTAATTGTGCGGACTTACCAATAACTTTTAAGAAACAGGCATCACTATAGAGATCATTACGGAGCGCATGGACATGATACTCAACGGATTGTGGGTCGCCATTCTTCAAAGACTCAGTCACACCCATGACTCCAATCTTTCCCTATGAAAATACAAAGATTGATAAAGACAAGAGAGCCCAGAGCATGCTTGAACAGGAGCTACCCCAGATCTCAATTCCTTATCCACACACGTCCCTCAATTAGTTAGATCATCTGATTTTATTTTTAGCTTTTGATGTCTCCAACACTTATAAGAGCGCCAAGGGAACACTTCGCTACATCTTTCTCATTGAAGAAAAAAAAAAGAAAAAAATTGGAAAGAACAATCAGACTAATTCCCGCGTATCTAAAATGGCACTTTCATACAATTTGAAATAAAATGGAAGAAAAATCGAGCCTGCTACACTGCAAAAAAAAAAACAACAAAAAAACAAACCAAAAAAAGCCAAACAACCAAAACAACAAAGAAACAAACAAACAAAAAACCATGACACAAATTCAGAAGAAAATTTGCTGTCTTCCCGAAAGTGTATAAAATCTTCCTAACCATTCTGCCACAATAAAACAAGACTGGGTAAACACAAAGGCATCCTGAATAGGATCGTTGTAAATTAAGGTGAAAAGAAAAAGCTTAAACCGTAGGAACCAAGAAAAATGTGTGTAGCAATGGCTGATATACAATAAATGGTTTGACCCCGTGGGTAACACGTAATAGTGTGGTTTGACCGTCCGGTTGACACCTGTTGAGGGGAGTCCACTCCAAGTTAGTAAACCAGCTTTCCAGAATCAGTCGTTGACAGTAGTTGGTGCTGTAGGTTGAGCGTTGCACAGAGTCCCAGTCAACAGTGTGGTTCGTAAGTCGGTGATGTTCAGTACGATTTTCCTCGTCGCTCGTTTGTGTTCAGTCAAACAAAGACAAAGACGAACCGAGGAACAGACAGGAGCAGTTTACAAGATCAATTGCTCCGACTGCCACGCCTCCTACATCGATAAGACTGGCAGAAACCTCACAACTAGTGTCAACCAGTACCGGCACCATACAAACGACTCATTCACGACATGAACATTACAAACGAACCGAACAGAACGACCAAACTTTACTAACGGATCGAGACCGACCAATCACGACCAACCTAAGCCACGTTGATTCTTACAGCCGATAATGTCACGGCAAAACGGACCAATCAGTTTATAAAAACCGAACTAAGAACATTCGAACGACAACTATTCAGTTGACTCTGATGATGACTTCCTCTCAGGTTGTCGAAATGTCAGTCACCACTACCGACAACAGTCCTTCTAAGAACTACGCTCACCCGGACGATTAAGCTACACTATTAAATGGCTGATGTGTACAACACAACGAAAGCATAACGCAACGACCAAAGAACCACAACAACTTAAGTAAACATAAAAAAAATATTAGATCAGAACACCTGCATTTAGCCTCGCTATTATGTTAGTAATTAGAAATAAATGCACATTCTCTTACATTTTCATACAAGTCAAAAAACGTGGCTACAACAGCTCCCTCTAAAGTTGGTAACTCCTGCAACCAAAAATCACAACAAACGTAAACATTATTTGAGAAAATGTACGATTTTGATTAAAGAAGGAAATCATCACCCACACTGTGGCGTCCTGATATCTGTATATGGAAACTACGCGTAAAACGAAAGTTTGATGAAAAGAGAAAACGGAAAGAAAACAAAAAAAAAGGGAAATCAGATAGAAGATTGATTACCTTCCAATGAACGTCAAATGTCCGTTCCCCAAAGCAAGAGGTATGTGTACTTTCACATGGTATATTTTCCAAAAGAGCTGCAATTCTCTTGAATTTGGTTTCCCTAGTAAGTGTTCAGACGGAAACAAGATGCATCATTACAAAAGAGCACGATAAGAAGATAAGAATGAATATTAATGGCAGGTGGGTGGAGATATTTAAGGTGTAAAGAAAACACGAGCAATCTTCAACAAGTAGAAACACTTCATTGTTACGAAGGGAAGTAATCTAAGGTAAAAGAAATAATATAATTAGAAATAATGTTTCCTCCAATAACCTTAAGCAGATGAATTGTATGTTCAAGGTTATAATGGCCTCAGGTTTCATTAAAGAAACAGTGACAGTGTACAGTGTTGATTTAAACAAATACATCGAAGTAATCATTTCAACTTTGCTTGTTACGTAAATTACGTTTTATAATTACTATTATTATTATTAAAATCACAACCAGCAGCTGGTAGCTGAATTACTTGTGCAATATACATAATTTGCAATAATTTAGTAATTTAATAATTTAGTATATATTACAAAAAATACAAATCGTATAATAATAAATTCCAAATATAAACAATTAAAATATCAATAATAATAATAATCCTACTTAGATTTAGTTTTGCTTTTTTTCTGCATAGTTTATTATGAAGGAATTTTGAAACCTTTTGGTTTTTATACCGGGCATAGCAAACATTCGCTTTTTCCTAAGGTTGTACTGAGAGGCATTATTGCGCGCAGGTAACAGGTCAGCAAGTTTATGCTGGCCATCACTCTCTTTGATCTGATTGAATAGATGCATAATTCTTCTCGCCTATCAAATAGTGTTTTCTGATTTGCATCTTCTAGCGCTTTTCTATATGATGCCTCTAGATAAATGATTCTTAAAACTCGCTTCTGAACCCTCTCGATTTGATTAGAGAAGTAGACTGGTAAGTAAGAATGGAAAGCTTGAAAGGCATATTCTAGGACAGAACGAATACATGCGCAATAAAAGTGAATTAGAGATATGCGGTCAATGCCAGCGCGCTTAAAATGCTCAAGCAAATAGATTCGCTGAGACGCTTTTACTGTAATATTATCTACATAATCATTCCACTTTAGGTCACCCCTTACAGTGACGCCTAGTACTTTTGCTGATTTAATGGTTTCAAAGGAATTTCCACAGGCCTCAATTACAGTGACCTCGTTTGGTTTCCTTCGAAAGTCTATCCGAAGTTCCTTGTATTTAAGCAAGTTCAGCTTGAATTTGTGGTCGTTTGACCACTGAAGGACATGATCCACTGTCTCTTGGATCTTTGTCGCACCGGACTTGGGGAAAAATTGCCGGGACCGTGGTGTCGTCGACGAATTTCCACATACCAGAAACGAGGCTGCACGAGGTAGCGAGGACCAAAGAGAGCCAAGGGCCAATGCGAGCACCCTGTGAAATCCCAGCGGGGACTGGGGTAAAGTCCGAGAAACAATCAGAGCTAAGCTTGACAGGCTTGGATCTGCCCCGGAAAAAGTCGATCACCCAGGTGACAACGGTGGGTTTAACTCCTAGATTGTAAAACTTGGGGATTAGCAAGTTGTGATGTACATGATTAAAGGCTTTTTTATGGTCTAGGAGTGCTTCCCTAACGTAGGCGCCGGTCCAATCAGTGGCTTCAAGCTGGTAATACAACATGGAGATGAGTGCGAAAGTAGTGCAGGAATTAGGCATAAAGCCAAATTAAGAAATTGAAGAAATAGGTCTCAAGTCAATAAAAATAAGTTTTTCTTTTGTCTCACGATGTAGTCACGTGTGATGTAGATCGCGACGTTTCGACTGCATACTGCTAGTCGTCTTCCTCGCCTGAAGAAGACTAGCAGTATGAAGTCGAAACGTCGCGATCTACATCATACGTGACTACATCGTGAGACAAACGAAAAACTTAGCTTTTGTTGTTATTCACCATGATGAATAACCACAACCTTTTCTACAAAAGGTCTCAAGTCTTTGTTAAAATCCTCAGTAGACGGTGCTTCAAGAGGTGGAACATTCGCCAGCTTCCATACCCGTGGGTTTGTAGATTCACGGAAAGATTGATTCAACACCTCAGTAATCGCTTGGGCTAGTATATGAGTATTCTTTTAAAACCCAGTTTGGCAGATCGTCAGGCCCCCAGCTTTAGATGCACTGATCGCGCTTAGCCGTTTCGCAACAGAATCAATTTTCACCCAAATTGGCTCATCATCTCCCCATAGGACAAAGGCGTCATCAGACAAAGGAGTGTAGTCTTGCATCACAGTGACAAACGCCTCGTTGATTTTGTCAGCGAGCTCCTGGTCAGTGCAGACCGTACACAAACTTTACGTTCTTTATTTAACATGGATATACACTTAGCTTGAGAGCTAGTTTACAGGTATTCCACCTAATAACTAATTGAAACCTAACAACTAAACAACACTAATATCACGATACATCAGGTAAAATCACGTATTAAATATTGATTAAAACTATTTAAAACTATCATTACAATATTACCGCCGCAGTATGAGTTTTCAAAATGGACCTTATATCCTTCCGTGCATTACTTCTATTGCCACAGATTTGTTTGAATTCTCGCCACCAGTCGCGAGGCCGCGTGTCCTTCAGGTCCCGTACTTCGTTGTTATACCAAATCGCCCGACACCTTTTTCTTTCGCGATTCACTTTGTTCCTAAGCAACTTGAAAAGGAGCGTGACACCGGATGCAAAAGCTTTCTGCCTTTTCTCATATATCGACCAAGACTGGCAACGCGACTAAGCCTTTAATCGCGAGTTTTCATGATCTTGCTCTGGGCTTGGGATTTCTGGCGAACGTTAGGCAGGACCGTGATAGACAGATGGTCAGAGAGACCAAAGGCTGGTCCGTTTGATGATTTTTTGTAATAATCCTTCAAGTTCGTGTGTATGCTAGGTATGAGCGCAACGCTGCTTGGTGGGAGGCATGAGCTATCTCATCAATTTTAGGCGCTAGAGACATAGGATTGCTAAGGAGAAGAGATGGTGCGAAAAACGCTGACGTCTCTCAGGAATCACCGTCTTTGGTAGAGATGAAGCCAGAGGTGCCAGTTTGAATATTTAATAAGTTTCTTGAGTTAATCCTAGTTTTTCCCCCGTTTTTCCGTTCTTGAGAACAGGCCGCAAGTGAGAGTTCTTGATTGAGCTATAGGAATGGTATTGATCTCGTAGTTCTTGCGTCTGCCACGTTTTCCTCTCCTGGGTTTCAATATTCCTGCCAACTTGCAAGCTTGCCATTGTTCTGGCTCTTGCGGTTTCAACTCTTGAGAGTGAAAGCTTCGCCAATTTCTCGATGACATGAGGAAGTTTCGCGAAAATCGAAGCATCATCTAATCCTCCAATAATACTATGGCTCGAGCTCTTAAAACTTCTTGAAATATACGAATACCTACACATAAAAATCAAATTTGGACGGAGCAAAGAAATGGCAGCCGAACGGTGCTCACACGTAATGCTCATTTTCCTTTAGTGTCTCTTCATAATTACTTAAGCGTGCCATGCAGGGATCCAGTATGATGGAAAGTCTGGGCGTTCTCTTTATATTTAAGTAACGAACAGACCCTGCAAACAGGTTTATGAACTATGTAATTCAAACTGTGGATGGCTTAATGAACATACTTAAACAGAGAGGATGGAAACATGGGAAAGGAATGAGGATCAAGTGTGCTTCTAAGTGCATATATGTGTCAGCTTTTTATCTCACCCCGTTTCCTTTACATTCAACACTATCAATGCATCATAAAAACCGTCCATATTATAGTCTCCTGTTTAACAGAAAAATAAATCAACTATTAAACATTATTAACGGCACTAGTTGGTTTACTGGAGACACCCTATCTTCAAACCATATTCTCCTCTCTAAGTGTACATTTAGCTGTGATGAATGGCAGAATATCGTTACATGAACCGTACCTATGTTGGATGAAAAATTCTTGTTTGAAAACAGGTGGAATTGTTTTGCATTAATTTTTTCTCCGCGAAATGTTTTTTAACCAGTAGTAAGTGTTGATCTCTCTGATGATTACTTTCGCCCTGAGTGTTCAAAGGAAAGTCTCTGTCACGTTAACAATCCTTCGATCTAAAACTGCCCCCGCCAAGCCCCCGCCCCACAAAAGAAACCCTTAGATGGGACTACATGATCAATTGCAGCTATTTTCGACACATGAAGTGTAAAGGAAGACGAAAATGTCTTTGCCATAACCACTTCTATTGTACTCTAGATTCTATTCAAGAAGTGCTGGCGACAGTCTCATTTATTTAGGCTTTGCTGTAAAGCAAGATTACAAACCTGTTCGGATGGTCATTAATGGAAATAAAGATGAAGTCTGGTTTGTTGGCGCAATAAACTGCCATGTAACAGGTCTGCCGTCGTTTGATAGCATTGTCTGCCACTAAATAAATTAAATTCACAACTTTTCAACCTCACTGTGATATTATATTTAAAGCTTCATGCTGTTGGTTATGGCTTTTTTACGTGTGTTGCATTTACAGACGAAGTAGCAAATAAAGATATCTTTTACCTTGATCTATCGTGAGTTTGGTGTTAATGAATACCGTTAATTTCACATACCTTGTTACTAGAATACACACAAAGATGACTTTCTTCACAGTAGTCAGTTGTACAAACCGGCAACAACTGGTCAATATTTCCATCTCCATCTCAAAAAAGGAAAATATTACACTTTTAAAACGGGTAGATGTACATACAGATCAGTACCCAACGGAAATCAATGCTTTGCAGACTGGTGGTAAATATACACCAAATAATTTATGAAGGGTGAATTTATTTTCTACAATCACTGTATAATTTACCATAACCCTAATTTTTAAATCATCATCACTGCCATGTACTTTTGTTTTAAACCAAAATTTAATTCCAAATTTGTTATGATACTACATTTAAAAAGTTTGAATATCTGAATATGAGGTGATTTCTCATACTTACCAATGTCAACAAATGTTGACTGGCCAAACACTTTAATGAGCTTGTCTTTCACCATTTTGGGTAGTTTGATTACTTCTTCTGAGTCATCAGATGGGTGAACAAGGACTCCCTTCTAGGTAATGAAGGTAATGAAATAAAAGAAAGTATAAACCACCAGAAAAGAAACTTGAAATAACTTTGTTTCAAAATGTAACTTGTGATTAGCTTCCTCCAAATAAGAATCATACCATTGTAAGATTTTGTAAAGTTTTGCACCATCTGTTCCAAATCTAAGTGCATTTTTGTAACAGAGTAGTTTTAACCCTTTAACCCCCAAGATCTGATTGCAAATTCTCTCTTCTAGTAGCTAGACATTTACTTGTAAATTGGTTAGGAGAATTTGATGTTAGATCAAGACTACTAACTTCTACCGGATAAGTTTAAGTATTATCATCACCTGTTTGTTGGATAATGCATGGATGTTGTGAGGAGAATTTACATGTTGATCCCTTCTGGGAGTTAAAGGGTTAAAGTCACTTGGGGGGGGGGAGACTATTGCAGTATGATATCCACAGGTAGGTACTGAGTGAATTTACTTACTCTATTGATCCAAACTTCACCCTGATTTTGTTCATTGATGACAAACAGGTCTGCAATGAAAAAGTATACACTTCACTTTGTTTGTCAACTACTGATAGAATTAAAACATAAATGAAGCAAGGAAAAATAGCACACAAAACAAAAATACACTTTGGACAAAGGTTACTGAAAGTTATTGTTAAATTTAACTGGCCTCAGATGGAACAGTGAAGGTACAAAGCTCAAAATGAATTTAATGTAAATCCAAGGTAAGTGCTACATAAACCTTTCAACTCCCAGGAGTGAAATCTTACAATGTCTTATCATCCAACTGCACCAAGTAGAGTACAAATATCACACTTTCTTGGAACAGATCTTTATTTTGCTCTAATGAAAACCTGCTCATTCAGATGGCTATGCAGGATATGCTACTCTATCTGCCTCACTTTTCCCACATTATAAGTTGGGTAATAAATAACTTGTTTTGGGTAATAAATAACTTGTTTTGGGTAATAAATAACTTATTTTGGTATGTAGTATCGCTGTTTGCCTTTTGAAGAGCCCTATGGGTTGTCAAAATATGGCACAGCACATAAAAACACTCAGCAAAACTACTCACCAAAATATCAGATAATATATAATTATGTATTTGACAACAAAAGTAAATCATGCATTATTAGTAACATAATACCAGCAGTGAAATCTCCATTGAGATCCAGGAATGCATTGGAGTGTGGTATCCTAACTGGTGTAAGCACACTGGATTTTCTTAAATTGGTCTGCCGTTGCACCTCAAACCTTCTTTTTGACCTAAATTGAATATCACAACTCCATTTTTATCATGAACTTTAAGTAAAAAATATACTTCATATTTCATGCTGAGTTACTGAAATAATATATCTGATTCATCATTTCAGTTCTGTGTTATCACTCACAGTTTTCTAGGCTTGTTAGCTCAGTTGGTAGAGCACTGCACTGGTATTGCAGAGGTCATGGGTTCAAATCCCATACAGGCCTGAATTTTTTCAGGCCCTATTTTCACTACTGCTGAAGTAGTGTTCATTACAGTGAAGATTGCTTTCGTTCATGTCTTTATCCGCAGTTCAAATATATGACTTTCATACATTCACAGTTGTTTACTCAAAGTTTACAACACAAAAACCACCTCCTTTAAATTCAGTCCACATTTTTTACTTTGGAGGTGTCTATTTGCTTTTAGTTTCATTGTTCAATGAAGACATGAAACTTTAGTTTAGCCAGTTCTGACTATCAGCCACATTCATGATTACACAAAATTTCCATCTACATGTAGACTGTTGTTTAAAATATTTTTCACTGTCAATTATCCTACACTTGAATAAAACAATTTTTGTACCTCTCTCACTCATTCAAACTACCGATATAGATAGAGTGGTATAGAAATCTGAAAATAACCTGAATGTGCTTAACTGTAATAATAGTAGTGGGATGGCTTAATCAGCTATGTAGCCAACAACAGGCTGTTTTCAGTCGGCAGTTACTACTACAAAAAGGACTCTTCTGTACAGGTAATAAATAAAACATATTAACCATACTTTGAATGAAATATTACCCTTGAGATATCCAGTATGAACGCAAGGGAGAATTTTTCACAATTTCTGAACCAAAAAGGTCTGGCAAAAGATCACCATTGGCACTGAAAATTAAAGAAAATTAGTTAATATAACACTTGCCTTACCTTGTAGAGCAGTATACACATGCACATGAGTAAGTGAGATTCTGAACATTCCCACCGTTTTGACCTAACCTCAATTTTTCCTATCAGCAATATGAAATCTTGCACCTTTGAGTGATTTAAAGAGTAAAGAGAGTGCAAAAATCTTCCCTCGCAAAACTTGGTCTGGACAATGCAATTAAAATGATATAGTGACCAAAAATTTTCATGTCACCAGTATTGGATTACAATTGCTCTACTTATTTCTTTTCTACTTATTCTAATCTTCTAAAATTACACCTACTGACATCCTAGCATCTTCTCTCAACTTTGGTCTTAGTGAATGAAAAAAAGTGACCAAGCTTTGCACTTTTGCTTCATTTTGAAAAAATTTCACAGCAGAAAACGTATCCATGTGAAAACTTTTTTAATGATTGAGGTAAGGAGACTTGTGAATTTTTTAGGATAGCATTGTGGAATTATAAGGTAATTCACTCCTCCCTCAGAGGTCACAAATTGAAGGTCTATATTTTCTAGTCAGCTCATCAATAATACATTAATCGAATTACTTCCTTACTTACTCCATAACTAGTGGTTGATCTTTCATCACCAATATAAAATCACTGCCATCTGAAACAAAAAAAAATTGTGCCATTTTGAACATTGTTCCAATATCACATACAAGTAACAACTTAAATTGTACCAATCCAGGTGGATATAAATAGTCAATGACATCCAGCAGTGTTCAGATTGATTGGGTCAAAATTGCCAGCATACTATGTAGATTAATTGGGGACAACTAACAACAATTAATCATTTAATAATTAAAGAAAATATGAGATATAGGTACATGTGCAAGTATTGAAAAATATATAAAATAAACGATGAGTCATACATTAAAATAAATTTATAAAAATTAACCATTTCAATGCACTTTTTCAAAGTGTCTAATTATTAAAACAATCAAATACTGTAGATTTGTTGAGTTTGAACCAAATGACAGGGCCTGAATAAGTCAGGCCCTGTTTGCCATATGCAACACAAGGCTGTGCTCTAAGAAAATTTTCAGGGCGCCCTTTGGGCGCCTAACCATGACAAGTAGGTTGCCCAGCCTTCCAGGTTGGTCGCCCAAATTGATTAATTAATAATTAATTGATTGATTAATTAATTAATAATCCATTTTATAGTTGCCAAACAGTTTCATGTTCAATATTCACTTCACGTACTCTATTTTGGCGAACTTGTGATGTCGTGAAATCCTGTTATAAATTAACCACATACATGTTAAAACCGCTAAGAAAATTTCTTTGAAGACCACTAAAATAGGTTTCGAAACAAAAGGGTTCTTATATTAAAGTTTCGTTTTCGTCAAATTTTGATCGAATGATTACAATTGCGAGCAAGTCGCCAAATATGGTCCTGATAAACATCTTGCATGCCACGGACGAAGCTAATTAAATAAACACAAATTTGCATAAAGGACGGTTTCGTTTTATTAATCACGCGCTCCACTATTGAAACTGTTGAAACACAAAAATTAAATATAAGCATCAGCCACTTCAATAGAAAAATTAGATCTTCAACACATGCTTGTGCAAAAATCGAACAGTTTCTCACGGGCAAGGAAAAAGTAATTTTTCGTGCTAAATCATGTGAAACAATATTACATAACACACGTGACAAGTTTGAGCGTGAACAATTCTTGTTGTTGTCCTGCCGAATATTTTTTAGTTCTGCAAATGTCATCAAATTAGCAAGTAAAATTATAAAATGTTAGTTACAATCAGTTGCTCGCTTTATCGCGTCGTTCAATGGACAAGAAACCTGGGCCATGTACTATATTAATAAACCGGAAGAGAAACCACCGAAGCGAAACAAGACCCGTGACCTAACTTAATATTTAACCTAAATGTACAGATCACACAGGCTATTGATTGCACTGTGCTTTCAGCGCTTTTGCTTTTCGGGCTAACGGGAGCCGGGGAGCACGATGGAGTTTCTTTTTGTTTCGTTCCGTTCCGTTTCTATACGTTTGCTGGTTTCGTTTCGGGTTTTCACACAAGCCGAAATCAATGCGCCCGGACGGGCGACCGCTTTTATTTTTCAGTCGCCCGAGACCAAGTGTTAGTCGCCTGAGGCGACCGGGCGCCGCTAGAGCACAGCCTTGTTCAACAGTATGAAATCTGGGTATAGCAAAATCTGAATTTCTTAGATGATACTGAGAACTTGTAATAACAAAAAAGTCTGCAATGCAAGGGGGCACCAATCCATTTTTGACTTTATACATTATGATTGCAATGACTTTCACTTGTCACATAAGTAATGTACTAGGTAGTTTCGCTCTTTGCAAGAGTTCCTCATATGTCAATATATTGTCAGAGTAAACAGTGCGTAGTGCTTGTTGTTGAATTTTTCTAGTTTCTGGCATCAGAAGAACAACAAATATGCCACATAGTCTAACAGTATGTAAGCTGAGATAGTATAGCAAATTTAAGAATGTGTAATTTAGCAGATGATCAAACGAGGTTACGTAATCTCAGAAGAACACCAGTTTGACAGTTGGCTTTTCTACAAACATTGCTTACATGACTCGAAAATGATAGCTGATTGTCGAAGGTAACACCTAAGAGCGTTATCTTTGATTTCTGATCTATTACATTGTTGTTGACAATGATGTGTAGATCCTTATGACAATTCCTCAAGGCCAGACTCATCACCTTATACTTCCTTGTAAAAGATTGTTATTGTACCAATCAGTGATGTTATTTCCTCAGTTAAAATGATTTCTGCCTCACTAGTTTTCTTGGCCAATGCAAGTACTTGGTGGTCATCAGCATACATAAATAGCCTGTTTTCGTCAGGGGAGAAGTGCAGATCATTTTGGAAAACATTCCAAAGAAGATGGAGTTGGTGCACCAGACTCCATCAATGTTCCTGTTATCAACAACCTGTTTCCGTCTTTCTACCAATCCAATAAGGAAGGTTTCACAGCTCTTATCCTTTTGATATACCATTAGGTTGTTGCTTAACACTGGGTCTATAAATTATGTCAGCTATTTACTCAGTAACTGCTCAAAGACCTTCCTTATGACTGTCAAAACTGTAACAGGTCTATAGTTCTTAATGTCCTGTTTATGCATGTCTGACATACAGTTGATAAAAGGCATGAAATTCTCGTAAAGCTTTGAAAGTACAAAAATCTTATTTTGGCATTTAGTGAATGTATTGTTTGTAACAAAATTCAATAGCCCATGAAAATCAAATGGATTGGTTAAAAATTTAGCTAAAAGATACCTAGCAAAAGTTAAATGTGAGAGATTTTTGGCACATGTGATATTTCCTTCACAACAGCCTCCCACCTGACATATTGGAAAAAAATTTAAAAACTGGGATATCTCAAATTTTTCACTTTTCCTTTTGGTTGCCCTGAAAGACTTAAAAAGTATTGCAGGGCAACTAAAAGTAGCAGGGCAAAATGTTCACTGCATTGTGAAGGTTAAGGAGGAAAATTGTTCATCAAGTCAAATTGGGCGCATTAAAGGTTAATTTGCAAAAAAAGAGTTGCATCTCTTTTTAACTTTCTCTTCACAATTTCCGTAAGATTATAAATAACTACAAAATTAAACAAGAAATCAATTTTTATCACAAAGCACATTACAAAACCTTAGCTTTCTTGCATTAAGTACAGCCAGTGCTTATAAATCAATGAATTAGGTAATAATTTATTTTCTTATGATATTAGTGTGTGGGAGTAGCATTTGATTGTGTGATCTGATTGTCCACATGAGAGTAGTTCTGTGAAAGACTGTTCTTCGTTCAACAACTTAACATTTGTCAAAATGTCAGTGAGTGCTACCAACAACCATCTGTTCTAAGACTACTCTCACCTGGAGAATCAGGCAAGACAATCAAACATTTTTTGTTTGAAAAACACCCCTGTTGACAGTAAGTTGACAGTACCCTTTAAGATTCATTGATCATTAAAAATAAACAACCATGCTCCATTAATTAGCACACACTGAGGCAATTAGACAACTACATGTAAACATAATATTTTCTCCAGAGATTACCAACCAAGATGTCTGAATTACATTGTACAGGTACATCAGATGGGGGCAATTTAAGCATACCTAATGTTTGTGAGTTTCCCCAGTACACATAAACAGTAACATTCTTCTCTGTTTTAGAATTGTGTTGAGGTTCAGCAGCAATCAAAACATCAAGGCAGCCATCACCATCAAAGTCTATGGGACTCACATTCACAATTTTGCTACCAGAAAGAATGATTGAAAAGCAAAGGTGAAGAAATAGATATTAGGCAATATGCAATTAATTTAAACAGTCAAAAAGAAGTAGCACATTTTACTCAAAGATGAGCTATCAAGCAAGCTTCTCAGTAGCATTTTTGGCAGTCTTTGGAAACACTACAGGTCTTTTACCTCTTCCTGAAGTGCATGCAAAGAACCTCACTGACTGATGTTTGTCTTCTTATAGCTCCCTGAAGGCAACACCTTAAGATAATCCTAAGTATTTGTTTTGGTAAGAACTAAATCAATAAGCTTTGAGGAAGCACTTTAAAAGTCAATAATTAGCCTTTCAAAACTATTCTAATAATTCCAACACAACTTTTTTCATTGTCTTGAACCAATAACTTTAAATTATCTTCTCCTGGAGACAAATTCCAAATTTAAAACTAAAAGCAAAATACAATGTAAACCTCAAAAAAACTAAATAAATATCTCATGAATAATATCATCAAGGAAGTTTGAGCTCAATTTAATAGAAAGTTAGTTTCTTAAGACAAAAAGGAAGGCTGTTTAAATCTGCCATATACATGTATCTTCAACATGTCATATGCCATTACATGTCTCCATATAATGACAAACTCTTTACCTCTGCAGTGAAATTGAAACCCTTCCTTTTCTAAACTTTTGCTCTGATCCACTCCACAAAAATATTTCCAACTTATTCCCTAAAAGACAAATGAATAAAGGGGGTAAGTTTCTAAAGAAACTGTAGTGCTGTATAAGTGGGGGAGTATGATAAAACCATTTTGGTTTTGTATGTATGTAAATTAGCCATTGTGAAGAATTCCTAAGCTGATGTTTGGCAATAACTTTAATTGAAAGCAAAATTTGCAAAGGGCTAATGCTCAAAAGTGGCCAATTACATTATCAACTCAGTGGATTAATAATAATAACAGGACCGAGTGGAGTCCAATTTGATCTGTAATGATACAAAAACAAAATCAGATGGCCTTGAGGCAGGAGTCCAATTTGTTAATCATAAGTATAATTACAGACAGAATTGGACAACACGAAGAACTATTACAAAATTTGAGAAAGAAACTAGAAATCAGTTGTACATTTTCATAAAAAAAATCAATAGTTAACTCAGCAAAATGCAAGACAACAGCACACGCTCATGATGCATTCTGTCCACTTACATAGGCATAACGTGTTCACTGTGTCCCATTAACTGTCCTATTACACTGTCCAATTACAAGCATAATGCAAACACTGTCCTATTAGTGCTCAAATTTGGCTGGTGATGACCAATCATGTTCGAGAATTTTGTTATAGTTTAAATTAAACCAAATTATCTGATTCCCTAAAAGACATCAGTGACAAGGATGAGACCAGGGATGGATAAACATTACTTATTTACTTTGTCTTTACTATAGGTTAAATTTGAACAATTATGTTCTTACAAAATTGAAAGGAAACAATCTTGTAACTACACTTACTCTCATAACAACATTTAAGTGCTGAACTTAATAATGCCAGTAAGTTGACACAAAGATTACAGTAGCTATATAAGGGCTAAATATATTTTAAAATAAACAGTTTAAGACTGCATATGGCTACTGATATAGCACAATTTTTAAAGCATTTAAAAAATAGAGTTTATATAATGATGCTAGAATGTAATGTTGCAGAAGATTAGTCTAATATGCAAAACAGAAAACCTGCTGCATCCCACATATTTATGAGTGCCCTGTTCCACAAAAGAAAGGTGATTCAGAAATATAGTGACTAGTTGACCCACAACCAATAATTAAATGATGAAAAAAAAATTTCTAAAAAAGTAATAATAATAATAATGATAACAATAATTAATAGTAATTATAGTTTATGGGGGCAAGCTCGAGAACCTCACTATTCCATCTATAAGTCTACCCTTTATGTTCAAATATAATGATAAACAAATTTTTCTTTCAATTTAAACTGTTAATTATAAGTTATTTACTTAGTTCATTGTAATTCCAAATTTGTGAGACTTTTGTATCATACATTCCACCATTCTATCATTCTGCTGAATAGGGTCACCCATTTGAACTTTAGGTATCATATTTGGACCTTGCAATGTAATAATTCTAAAATTATCACCATAATTCTAAAATTATCACCACCAATCGGTGTTACCACCAGCACCTTTGTTTGGAGGCTTGGCATATTAACTCTGCCCACGCTCATGATGATGGCAGTTTGCTTCCTGACGCCTAATTACACCTCGTCAGAAAAAAGGCTGCTAATTAGTGATCATATAAAAGGACCTCCTGTTGCAGTGTTTAGATCACCCCTGATGAAGGTACTAGACAGGAGTGTTGCAACATTGGGTCTCTGAATTGTAACTGCTTTGGTTTCATTCATTAAATCTGTAAACCAGAGTAGCATCAAACCATGTCTGATTTCCTTCAAAGTTTTCTATTTAGGCATTTTTGTAAGGAAAACTCTTGTTTTCAATTACATGCCAGAAATTAAAGTACTTGATGTTTATCATCTATTGCAGTATTACAGCAAGAACTGAGAAAATAATATCTTAGGATCTGCTGTGCATAATTCCCTGATTCAAATAGTAAAATGCTCTCTCTTCAAAGAAAATTTTTTATTCTCCAAATGTACATGGTGCGCCAATTACACCTTGTCAGACCTTTCTGCAAGCTAAAGCTTTTTTCTTTTACATGTCCCATCCTGAGATGATTGTGAGATGTTAATAATCTTCTTTAGTAATCCAAAACAACATTAAGTATCACCGATCAACAGAGTAATCACGTGCTAATTCCGAATAACATTCGAAGCAGTTCGAAAAAATTCAACCCGAGTTTTGAACAGGCGGAGATGTTCTGTAACAAACAGAAGCCACGAGTAAGGAATATTAGGTAAAACTCCGAAGAATTCATAGTGGGCTGAGAAGTCGCTCGTATTCTACACTCACTCACTCACTCACTCACTCCACCGGACACCTTTAAGGCTTCACCTCCATAGGAGGCAGTAACCATTAAAAAACGTCTTCTGGTTTAGATCTACCAGTCTCTCGACACATCTAACAGATTTTGCTGTTGCGGCCAAAGGAGAAGACGTGCTCCTACTGCACTAACAGTGTTTTTTCCGCACAGCCCCATACTTAATTATGCATGTACATCTTACTGGTGATACACTGAATAATAAAGCCCCATATATGGATGTATAATGATGTATGGGGCTGTGCGGAAATTTTGCCCAGTGTTTTTTTGCATAAAAATTTCATAGAGATAAGAAAAATGTCAGTAGGTTTTTTCATAGGTTTTAAATCACATACAGTGCATGCAATACACGAGTATAATCTGTATGATTAATTAAGTATATTTGATTTTATAACATACTGCCGCCATGCCCTAGATTCCTTATTTTACCCCTGAAGGACAAGATTATTACCTTCACCAGTGACAAGGAACAAGTCGGTCTGTTTATCTCCATTAAAGTCGCCAAACGCTGCCAAATAGCCATTGATTGCTGAAATACCAACTCGCTCAGTTACATCAATAAACGAGGAAGATATCTGCCGCCACAGAAGAACCAATAACCCAAAGGAGAAAGAAATTCTCATTTCATAAAATCATTTCAGGAGTTTTCTTAGAGGAAAATTAAGCATTCATAATCCTTAGAAATAATTTAACGATCGCAAAACTAAGAAAATAACCAAAATGGCAAGTTATGTTTCCACGGTACACTAGTTTTCCAGCGGCTTTTCGGAAACAGCTAAAGGCTATGTGTAACCATCATATAAAGTCTTCCGCATTTACGTCTGCTTGCGAGACAGAGGAAGCGCATCAACATTGTCTTTAGTCTCTAGAAGTCATCCCTTTCACAGATTATTTGAAATTTAATGTTCTGTCAGGAAAGACACCCTCTAGCTGAAACGTAAGCGTTTATAATTTCGAGTAAATTTTGTGTTCTCGACATGGAAACACTCTCAAGTATACCGCGTTAACCCAGACAACTCGTTCCTAGAGGTGTTCATCCAACATATAATAATTGTAATGTTTAGACGCTTTTTAAATTAGAGAGAGAGAGCTATTGAGGTGGACTATGAACGAGTCGGAAAAAGAAGGAGAAGAGCAAGTTTACGACCTCATCGAAGACACAGATGATAATTCAAACGGGAATGAAGGAGTGGAAAAAACAGCTGCTGTAGGAGAAAGTTTGGTAACAGGAACTGATGAAGTCGATCAAAGTTTGGCTGCCGCGCAAACAGACGACACCTTTGGTGAAACAAAGAACATATTACTCAAACTCAGAGAGAAATTTCGACGTCGTAAATGTTCAGAAGATTCATCAGCAGAACATTTTGATTCTGAAGAAACAAATGAATCTTTGACAGCGTACTCAAGCATCGAAGACAATGAATTACCAAAAACTACAACTAGACTTTCACTAATGCACAAAACGCTTAGTTTTCCTGGCTTCGCTAAAGATCGGTCCTTCAGTCGGTCGGGGGCGAAACGTTCTCGATCAAAGTCATTTTCTATTCGAATGCAATCCAAGGAAATGGAGGCAAAAAGGGAGGAGGACACGTTTGAGTGTAGTAAACAAGCTGGTGACACCTGCAGCACATCCAGCTGGCTGAATTTCGAAACTGCACAGGGAAATCCATTTGTAGAACCAACAAAGAAAAGAGCAGTTCCTCCTCCCCCTCCTCCCATACTTCTGCCATCACACTTTACTAGAAAAAAACAAAGACAGCTTGTAAAATCGTTGACAATATCGCTCGATGAACTAGACCCATGTGATAGAGGATTTAGGCCAGTGCCGACCATTGAAGGTGTCGACAGGCAGTTGAATGCTAAGTGTCCGCAAACAGCTACTGAAATAAGCTGCCAGCAATACTCATTTCCATTAATCAAATCTTTAGAGTCACTTTCACATCACAGTTGGTACTGGGGGCCTATAGACCAGTTTGAAGCTGAGGTTTATTTGCAAGATAAACCTGATGGTTGCTTTTTGGTCCGGGACAGCTCCCATGAATTCCACTTGTACAGTGTAAGTTACAGGTGTAGAGGAAGAACCTGCCATACAAGGATTCGCTATGGAAATGGTATGTTTTACTTTGTTGCTCCTCCAGGTGAAATGGGAACTAAAACAGTGGTAGGACTCATCAAGAAATCCATGAAAATGTCCTTAAAAGGGCCAATGTGTTTTTCAAAGGCATCAACTTTCCTAGGCTTTCCCACTTTTCCCATTCGACTTACAACACCAGTTTCAAGGTTTGGAGAACTTCCCTCTCTCCAACATCTTTGCAGGTTTGTTATTAGACAAAATTCACGCTACGACAAGCTTCATGAATTACCGTTGCCATCCAAGATTATTAACTATCTGAATGTAGATAATCATTTCCTGGAAAATGAAGGGAAAGAAAATTTATCCCTCTCATAGGTCCAAGAACCATTATTTATCAATAAACCAGTGGCCGTACTCTTGTTGTACATGATTTATTTAGTAATGTTTTTGTCATCAGATCAGAAATGTCATTCTCCAAGTGCTTACAGTTGTAATTGATTAGAGACACTGCTACAAAATTCTGGCCACTAAATAGGTAGAAAAAGTTGCTAATTGCACAAACTATGTTGGTGGTTTGACAAGTATCAAGCTCTAACAGATCCTAATTCAAACTGAGTGTCAATTACTTATAAATATTAGCATACAATGTTACTCATCCTTAGTTATCTACATGCAAGTCTCAAGACCATGTGCAAGAGTATGTGGTGCAATATTGCACAGATATAATTTTTTCCTTATTTGGTTCTTCACATTTTATTTGACAAACTTTGAGCTTTGAGCCCTGTTCTGATTTTTTTCCTACTCTCAAATTTCAACTTGATCTAGGAGATTTTCATAATTATCTAATGGTTCAACCAGGTCCAGCATTAATGGAACCTGCCTTAGTATACCAACTTTTAAAAAATATCCAAACTGACAAAACTGCAAGTGAATTACATCCATAGAGGACAGAAATTCTGAGCCTATTTTTGGCAGTGAGAATGTCGCAGAACAAATGGATTCTTAAAATACTATGATTTAGGCAAATTGAAGGTATATGCTGTTATTTGGCATTCAGGCATCAGCTTTTAACTCTGAAAACAAAACAACAGTTGTGCAAGAAGGATCAGATCTTTTCCCTTCACAAGCAGTGACATAAACACTTTCAAAACATTCTTGCTGGCTTCAAAATGTTATCTGTCCATAGACAAAACAGTTTCTGTTAAAATCAGTAATAATATCTTAGGGTTAAGGGGTCAAGGGTTAGGGTTAACCCTAACCCTAAGATTTACAAATTCCCCTCATCAATAACTTGTTTATTGCCTCATTGGGCCAGCTTTAACCAGACATTAATGTAATAGATGACTTTGTTCCAGGAGGAACCTAAAACTGTGGCTGTAAATGCAAAATATTCTTTGTCCATGGTGCTCTGGACAACTCTCAGTCAGCTCTTAATTACAATAGTTGTGCTGTATTTAAGGCAACAATTGCACCATAAAGATGTAAATGTAACTTTAAGAACATGGTGTATAATATTTTGAACAAGTTCTATGTATGATACATGCTTCTAGTTAGTAAATATATTTATTGTCTCAATTAACTGTATAATTTGATGATTTAATTAGGATTAAGTATGTATCCTTACTTGAAAATATTTGGTTTTGTGACAGCATTGCAGTTTAATATAAGATCTCACGGGGGGGGGGGGGGGGAAGGAGTTGTGGAGAGAAACAGCATTGGATATAATTTCTTAATAGTCGATGGGTAGACTTGAATAATTGCAGTAGATAAGAATTTATTACAAGAAAAGTACATAGCCCAAGTTCTTCAGGAAATGTTTTTTTTTTAATTGTTAGTATTCTCCTTTTCGATATAAGAAACTGTTGTAATACCTACTTGCCAAGTGATCCTGTGCACAATTATTGAAAAATAAAATAAAATTGCAATGAAGGACTTTTAAAGTGATGTACAGTATTGTTGAGTATTTCTCCAAATAGAAAGTGGTTAATTGTATCCATCTTGATCCTTATCCTTTACAAACATTTAATATCCTGTACAAACATTTAATATCCTGTACGCAGTCTTTACACTTTTTCTGCATTTATGCATCTTTACGGAGCGCGGAACTTGTCCGTTAAGAAGAGGCTTTATATTTACGTTTCTTTATGCAAGAGTTAAAGATGTGTAGATTTGCAATTTCATGCTGTGCAAGTTATTAAGAACTATGAAGTGTTCACCATTGAGGGTTACAGTTCCAATAGTCCATTCAGGCATAGGATTAGGGTTGGTCATGGGAAATGTATAGGTTTTAAGATTGTTTTAATCTTAGGTTGTGGAAAACACCAAAAAAGGGTACTGGAGAACAAACCCACAGGCTAAGAAGAGAGTACTTATTATAATTCAAGAAACATCAATCATATTAAAGGAAGTGCTTGACCTTTGTCAGAAGTTCATATATCAATATGACCAACATTGATAACTAAGTTAATATTTAATTCTTTAAGTTACCATTGCACTTTCACAGTATGGATATTCAATAACTTTCCCTAATCAATTGACATTTAAATAAGCATCAAAAAGAATTTATACATGTAGCAAAAACTAGGTCTGTCACCACTTCACAAACAAAATCACATCAGTATAAAACTTGTCACTGCCAGTAGCAGTATAATTCTGTTTCTGAGGTACAGGAGACAGTACAAATAAAGATTTCAGTCATGAACAGTCAACAATGCATTTCTCACTGCAAACAGGTCTGCTTAGAAAAACAAACTTCTGTTAACCATCAGCTTTGTAACTTCTGCATGGTTACAATCACTGCTTTTGCATGATTCACCTTCCACCTTCCAATTTGTTATTTGAGTAGCTGAATCATGGATATTATATGCAAGTACTTCCAGTCATCTCTGTTGACTTCATCTGCTTCGCCTATTAAGGCCACTCATATTACGCACCTGTAAACAAGCGATGAAGTTCAATAGATTCATGCATTAATTAACCAATTAATATATTAAAAGGCTCAAGGCAAGGATGGGTGTAACTTGTATTTGGACATAGTGTTATCAGTATTAGACAGCAGAGACCACTAACATACTGCCATCAAATTTTCAACACATTTCTAGTCAAGTTATGAATAGTTAAATTTCAGTCTTCCCCCATTACCCATTAACAGCTTGTATTATATTAATGTCAGCTGAAAAATCGGCACTATGATGTGCTACTATCACTAAAAGCTAACTTTAATCCCTTCCCTGACTGTTAGTGAATTAGCTGCTACCAACAGGAAAAGAAGTGTGGGACAGGGTGAGAATTAACCAATGAAAAATGATAAACAACACATACACATAAAAATGAGAAGGAAGCCGGCTTAAAAATTTGTAGTAGATATTAATACAGTCGAACCTCAATTATCTGGACCTTGCTTATCCAGATTTCTCAATTATCCAGACTTTTTCTCTGGTTCCAATTTTGTTATGAATTTTTATTAAACATGATCAAGATCTGTAGCCATATTCTTTTTAAAACTACAGCATTGAAAAGTGAACTAAAGGCGAGTTTGTTTTGCTTTCCATAAGCAAAAGCAGTGTAAAGTAGCATTTGCACAAATAAATGAAGAACATTCCAATGAGGTCTAATTGGCTTAAAGTTGCTTTGTTGCTAAGTGAAATTTCACGCTCTATTGGCCCGTTCAGTGTGCTATGCAAGATAAACAAGCTACACAGTGTCACAAATGTTTATTTCCAATCAAGGAAAATATAATGAAATTTGCTGACAACTAGGATACCATTGAAGGACTGAAGCATAATCACCAAAAGTAGCACAAAATGAACAGCTTGATAAAGTGCTGATTAATTTAATTAATTGTTAATACACACATGTAAAAGTATTCGCTATAGACAGTGAAGATGTAGACCATATTTTTTACTAGAGGATATTTAAATGTTTTGTTCCATGACTAAATGCCCTTTTAATTTAATCAGTTTTTGTTCCTCATTAATACTCATATTCTCCATTATTTGTACCCTCAATTATACAGACTATTTTGTCTGGTCCCGATGAGTCTGGATAATCAAGGTTCAACTGTATATATGATGTAGAGCAGACAACACTCTCTAAAATATCAGTACTTTACACCATCTGTAATACATCCTAATGTATTTCAATGGTATGAAAAGCTCATGTTTCTTTCAAGTGATGGTTGGTGTTGCAACAATAGCCCTATTGCTATGATTAGAACCACTTCCAAAGAGGCAGTTTGAATAGGAAAGCAAAACATACTGTTGTAAAGGCAGCAGACAACAACTCAGCAGCATCTGATCCTGCTTTCTCAAGCTATAAAAACATCATTATTATTTTATTAAAGAGTTAATCATTCATGTCATTTAATATTAGTTCAAGTGAGTTCCCAGGTACAAACCCAACACCATAAACTGCTTTGATTGTTTACAATATGATGCGAAAATGAGCCTTGGGAACAGTCAAAGTTCATTGGCTGATTTATTTAATTCAATCAATAATCTTCTCTAAGTAGTGGACACTGTAAATACTTGCAGACAAGATCTTACTAAGTATACTTTTCCAACTTATAAAACTTGTGTAATTCACTGTGGCATAATTAACTTCACTTAGTAGTCTACATGTAAAAACATTTGCAAACATTTCAGCGCCTTCTTTATCATTGGTGTTAGTCATACAAAAACTGATGGTAGCAAAGGTGGTCAATTGATATTGGTGATTAATGACAATTGATGTTCTTCTGATTCATCAATTGTCAGTGATTTGCGATTATCAAATTAATGCAGTTGATCAATCCATAATCACAAAAACAGGCATATGGATTGCCTAAATCAATGGATTAGTTGACATTGATTGCTTGAATGTCATCTGTTTCATCAATTGTTCAGGTTCTGAAACTTACCTCCTTGTGCATTCAACTAAAAAGAGATAGGAAAATCTGCATTATTTATCATGATCAAACAATAATGTATCTAGGAGATGAACCTTAATCGTTCGTCTCATGATGGACTCAGTTTGGATATTGATCCGGATGTTTCAACTGCAATACTGCTAATCTTCATCAGGCGATGAGGTAGACTGTTTATGCGTCTCTATTTGTATGGAAATGCACCAATAGCAGCAAACCAACAAGCTACAAATAATGACACATGAACAATCAACCTTATCACCTGATGAATACTAGCAGTTTTGCAGTCAAAATGTCAGAATCAACATCCAAAGTGACTCCATTGTGAGACAAACAAAGAAAGTTCATCTCCTATTTTACACCATGATGAACAATAACCACATATTGTATTACAATAAATTATTTGTTTCCCTCATTTACTAACAGTTTCCTTGGCACCAATTAGTAAACCAATATCAGACATTCTTCTGTCAAGGAAACTCCAAGTATCTTCAAAATCAGATGACCTATCAGTAACCATGTAAAGTTCTGCAATGAAATAATAAACATACTATCAAGTTTTAGATTCTGTAAGATGAACAATTAAATTACAAGGTTCTGACCAAAATGAAGTATCCTTGTAAGGAAGGGAAGGACTGGAGAACGCCAGGAAAATAATACTCCTTCTCAGAGGAATGACAAGTTGATGTAATTTTCATAAACTATTCTAACAGCAACTCTGTCATTCTTACAGCAAATGACAAGAACCAGTACACATATTAAACTAATTTCTATAATGTCTGCTTACTTTAAACAAAAAAATAGTGTGCAGGAAAAGAAGTATTAACACTCAATGTTCTTCAATCAGCCCAGACATGAAATTCATACTGAGTGAAGCCAATTATATTATCAAAGGTAGTCCAACTGAAATATGACCTCTCTCATTTTCTGATGGACGTCATATGTGACTATGATGCCATAACTGAATTTTAAAACAACATTGCAGCCATTACAAATATTCCTTTAGCTCACAGTGCCTCCCTTCTGGAACATCCTATCAAAATATTGTTTAAATAAATTATTTGTAATTTATCATATCTTCATGGTTTTAACTGACCTGTGGCACCATACAGTCCTGCCAATACTCCTCTCTTTGTATACCAGTTTACCTGTAAGGTGTTACGCATTATTAGTTAATTATTGATTTACTTTATGGCTGTTATGACACAAGACTTTAATACCCATACAGTTACCACAAGTTGTATTTGTGGCAAATTAACTTGCTTGATATCAATTTCATAAACATTGTGGTTATCCACTATAGAGAATACAGAAGCAGTTTTTTCATGATGTAGTCATTTTGAATGTGGTTTTATATATATATTGAAAGTAACCGTCATGAGACAAGGCAGGGGTGGTAATGCCTTCATATTATAATGCAGGGAGAGAAAGTAATTTAATGATTTGAAAATTGTTACTTCAGATCTCTAATTATTGTTATTTCCATGTCTAGTAAAATTGAGTTTGTGTGGGAAATATTTTTGCTGCTGACACATACATCATTTGATATTGAATTTAAAAGCAAGGTATTATGTTTTCACTTCTTACATCTGTTGAGGTGTCACCAGCATGATACCATATCTCATCTACCAAATATGCAACATTCTTCAAGGCATCAGGAGCATTCTGAGGTAATAACATCAAACCCATGGCCTGTGTGCAAAAGGGAACAGAAAATTGGCAATTAACCTTTAAGATGCAACTAACATTCATCATCTATAAAAACACAACTTATTATTATTGTAATATAATAATAATATTATCACAACAAAGCTGGACAAATCCATTAACATTCAGGTTTAAACACATACAGTCCTTGAGAATTTCAGCCTTTATGACTCTTTACTCCTTTAATTTCATGTCCAATACTTTTGTTAATATCCTTTCTGACCCTGGTAAGCATGCCTTCCACATTAATTTCTGGAGTCCAGCTATGTAAGGTACCTCTAGCCTGAACTGCAACACTCTGAGGGTTTCTAAAGGACCAATTGTTAACAAGACAACTAGGACCTTCTTGAAGTTCCAGATGAGCAATCCCAGCTGCAACCATTTTGGTCACCAGGGCGGCTAATAATTTTTTTTTATTTTTTGCTGAATGGTCAATTGTAACATTTTCACAAAATAATAAAAGTTGAGTTTGGGGTGCACATCTCATCTCTTTTATCAAAAAAGTTTGTCAAAGTGTTGTCCTTCAAGGCTCAGCACTCTTCCATAGTAATTAACCCTTGTCCCCTCACTGTTTTACAAAAGTACAAAGTACAATAATTGCTTAGGGTTAGGGCTAAACCCTAAGCAATTATTTCTTTATCTCCAAGAACACCTTAACAATGTACAAAGAAATGACAAGGTGGCATCCAAACCAGTCACTAGATACTTTAATCTCCCTAACCATTCTTAGCAGCTGCAAAACTCTAGAACAAAAATTTATCTTCCAAATCAGCACTCATAATGCACATGGTATCAACAAGTGCTTTTCATTAAAATATTCCTTCTTGTTTTTTCATCACCATATTCCTACCAATAGGGTTGCTCCATTTTCTGCATATAAACACACATACAACCCAAAATTCCCACAATTGCCTTAAAAAAAGGGCTAACACTCAAAACCTCAGCTTTGAAACTCTTTACATTTTCAAGTCAGTTGACATCTAGACAGGCATGTTACTTACCTGAGGCCACTGGTCAATAAATGGAATGAGCATTCTCAGTCGCACTTCCACAGCATCACGGATTATCATCTGAGAACTCTTTCGCCTGAACAAAGTTGAATTAATTCAACTAAGTGAAACTAATTAATGACTTTTACAATTTTCATTTGATAACTAATCTATTTGGTGTAATAAAAAATTTAAAAATGCATTTTCTCTTCTTAATATATTTTCAAAATCTCAAAAGGCAATTTTAACCCCAAGTGCAGTTTATTGGCAATTATGGTGAAAATGGCCTGCATTACTTACAAAGAGCCATGGAGATTACATGATTACAATGAACAAAACTATTATTTGAACACATATAACATGAATAAGATAGACTTATTATCCAACTGCACTAAGTAGAGTACAAATAATGCACAAATTCAATATAAATATCACATGATCGTTATTTTGTCTTGGAAAAAACCTGTTTAACTGATCAGCAGCGCATGCTTCACTTCAGTCTCTATCTGCTTCACTTTTCTTACCTGATAAGAAATGCGCATAAAATAGAGCAGTTGGATAGTAAATAACTAAATAGGCACTTTGGTGTGTAGTATCACTGATTATTTTTAACTCTTTGTCAAATGAAGCACCATTCATAAAAATTCTCAGCCCTACTATAGACCAGAATGTCTAGTAAGATATCTTTACTTGTAAGTAGTATCCTTGGGACATAGAATCAAATTTACTCTAAATTGAAAAAAGCATCTTAACAGCACTAACAATGGGACTCCAGATGTTTCCTCCTTCCCTGCTGATTTAGACAGTGAAACAAGATGATCTGCCAAACGAACATTACAGTCCTCAGTGAAATGAAGGACTAAATCCCCAGCACCTCGAGGGAACATGCCCTCTGCCATTGCAGACAGCCCCACAGCACTTGCTCCAGCTTCTATAGCTTCTGAACTCCAACCTAACTCATGCACATGTTCAAGTGCAGCATTAAGGATATGTTCTCGCACATCTGTTTCTTGATCTTCATCTGCATCAATAAAGGCAGCTCCATCATCATCACCAAAGTATTTCTTGTTTGCACTCTCAGTACTTGCACTGTCAAATGCTTCATTTCTATATTCATCAAAAATCACAAGCAGTAGTAATTTCTTTTCCATTTAGAAAAATATCAGAATTTGGAAATAGTAATAGAGAGGAAAGAAAATAAACGTTCATCAAGAATTTCAACAACCACCTCACTACAATTACAACAGCCACTTTCCATTCCTTTTAGTAGACATGGCAGCCTATTTGTGACAGGAATAATAAATCAACCATAATTCGTTCCCCATACTACTCCTTATAACGTGTTTCAATTCTCAACGGTTCCTCTCTTAACTTAACAATGAGTCACACTACGCGTGACGTTTTGACGTAATCGTTTGCTTTCTCTCGAGACGTGAGCTTGGGCCGCCTGTGATTTTTAAAAGACGGCTATATACAAAATTCCAGTGTAAAATGTGTTCATAATTTATTATTGGCAAGGTTTGTTTTTATTTTGTTTGATTCAAAGCTCAGTAACAGCTATGCATGTAGAGTTTTTTTCCTAAAGAATTTCTACCTAATCAAAAGGGCGCAGTAAACTGATTTGTCTGATAACATCAGTGATAGTCTGATAGTCTCATAACACAATAATCTGCCGCCTACCGACTGTCCGCTGAGTTTTGTTTCTCCTCCGATAAGTTATAGGAGGACTTTTGCAGCCATCTGCTTGGGATACCTGTGCAATAGGACCATGTGATCATAATTTAAATGTAGCAAAAAAGTCAGTGAAAATAACTAAACCGGCTGTTTCTTAACTCGGTTATGCAAGCAGATTTTCAAAAACTGATGCTGCTGCAAGAACCTCGCTTATTTCACACTCTTGCGTAACCTTAATTCAATCCAGCAGCGGAAGCAGTTTCAAGAAAAACTCTTTTTAGGGCGAATGATAAAAAACTCACCAAATAATCCTCGACGTATCAACCCAACCTGGCTTTGCAAGACCATGCGAATCGCAGAGGAAGTCGCCATGTTTGTTTTGTTTCCATACGAAATGCAAACGAGTAAGACTGGACTCTAGGAGATCTTGGAAATGAATGCAATGATCTGATACACTAATTAATGAAGACTTCGAAACGCAAGATAAGGTTCCAGCGAATTACATAAAGAATGTCTTAGCGTATTCTTGTTCGTACCACCCGCAAATGTAGAGTCCTGCTCTTATCCTCCATTGGTTTAAAATCAAATCTACCAGTTAAAACGAACAATTATCCACTAACCACGCAGGATCGACTGAGAAAACAAATTTATTGAGCAGTAACCTTTTTTAGTCACTTTTGAAAGACGCACGAAAGATTTGTATCAACACACAAAGCAGCCGTGATAATGATGTATTTTCCTAAAATATTTCATTTTATCACTTTACATTTGTTGGTGGTTTCTTTGGCTTCTCAGGAAGAGCAACACACCAGAAGATCGTACACAGTCAACCCAGGAAAGGTGAATAGCTATGGTTCTTTTCCTCCGTTTCCATGCTTCTCCGGTATTCGATTAAATTTTCAAATAAGAGTTCTGAACATAAGCAAAACAGGATTGTTCTCTTTTGCTTGTCTTGTGAAATCACTGCTGAAAAAAATATATTATAGTACCATTAGGCTGATTTTCTTGTCTAACAGGTTCAATCCGGTCAACAAATATAAATTAATAGGATATGTAATGTAAATTTAGCGTTATTAGTTTAAGTGCGTACATGTGTTTAAGTAGACTACCTCCTGATTAAGAATTGAGAAAGGTTTTTTTTTTAAATCTGCGTTTTCTTCACGAAAATTCGTGGCTGGATATCAGGAAAGTTGTTATTTGACTGTGAATACTGCCATGTGCTCGTGGACAAATGAAGCCTGGCTCGATATGAAGATCTGTAAATAAGGAGTCGATTGGAAAAATTGCAGTTACTTTGCAACCGACTTTATATACACGAACAAGTAAACAATTCTGTTCATTTCCCCAGACTGCAGCCAGTATGAGCCAAATGAGTAGTTAAAACTGCTAACTTTGAACTATATGAAATCCTTTGTTCATGTAAAGGCTTTTCACATTGTAAGGCTATATAGTCCTTCGTCTTTCATATATAGGAACTCGTGTTCTACATTGTTCTCTTTTGTTTGCTTTTTCTTTTTCTTTTTCTTTTTTTTTTCAGTTGCTTACCGAGTGCGACTTCACTGTTTAATCACCGAACGGTATTTACAACAAAAATTACAACGTTGCAGGCTCTAAGATTGAACCCATGACCTTCGCAATACCTGTGAATAGCTAAGCCGTCTGGGGCCAAAAAATCAGTTCGACCAATGCTTGTAACGAAAACGAAGACTCCCGAAAACGAAGATCCTTTATTTTCTTTATTAAGACATGATCTTGTTATGGTTTCTCACCGGAAATATCCATCTCCGGTTTTATTATTTTTAATAGCGGTAAGGCATGCAATAAAACAGCGGTTTTATAAAAAAGACCCCATAAACGAAGACCTGAAAACCAAGACACGAAAACTAAGAGCCCAAAACAGAGACCCGAAAACAAAGCTTGCTCGGAAAAAATTCGTGCTGGTATAATTGTGTTGGAGATTGTTTAAAAATCGGCATCGGATATTTCCAGTGCAGATTTTAAGAAATCAGAACAAGATCATGTTAAATAAAGAAAACAAAGAGGTCTTTGTTTTCGGGTCTTCTTATTTGGGTCTTCCGTGTCGTTTACTGGTCTTCGTTTTCGTGTCTTAGGTCTTAGGTCTTAGCTTTCAGAGGTCTTCGTTTTCGCTACAACCGTTCGACCATGTAGAACTCAAAAAAAAAATTATTATTTATAATATTACGGCGTGTCGCTATTTTGTCGGTTTGTCGAGAATCAGATGAAGAAAACTGAGAAGGCAACGTCATTAAAACTGCTGTAATAATTATTGAACGTTCATACGAGATTGTCATGCGCAGGGCACAGAGAAAAAAAGAAAGCAGAACAATCTAGCAGCATGTTGAAAGCAACCGTATGGAGATTATCCTTATCACTTTTTTTCTCGTTGCAGCTAGGGAGGGTTTATTCTACTTGGAATTGATCGATAAACCTATAACCTGATCTGCCTAGAGGAGTAGTGTGTTGATCGAGTTTTTTTTTTGTGACGAAATAGATCCTGCTGTTTTCTCTAACGGAAAACGATCCTGAGTGACAGACCAAGTCAAATATCAGTTTGTTCTAGAGGCAAAGATCCTGTGAAATATTGAAAATTACGAAATGATATTTCAGATTTTGTTTTGTCCGTCGGCTCGTGCCGGACCACCAGGCCCTCCTGGACCCCCGGGTCTTCCAGGAAGAGACGGGCGAGATGGAAGAGATTGCCCCCCCTGTAACTGTGCGTCAGTGCCGTCCCCTCCAGTGGAAAGTCCTTGCCCGGGATCTCCACCGCCAGTACCTCAAGGCCCACCAGTGGGAGGGTAGGTACATTACTATTTGCTACCAGCGTGTCGAATTCTTTACATCTCTGAATGGGCTAGTTTTTCGTGGTACTCAATAAGCCCAGAAGAGATTTTCAAAGCAAGAAAAAAAATGATAGTCGTTATGTGTGTGTGGGGTAGGATAATTCTAGGGTGTTTATTACTGAGGCAGACAAGGACACAGATGTGGCAAAATTGAATTAAGTGTGTAACTATCAGGGTTCATTTAACATTCACGGCTTATACAGGACGTGGAAAAAAAAAAAAAAAAAAAAAAAAACAGATCGAAGCGTCGGGTAAAAAAGTTCCACTTACATCCTTCCCTGGCCAAACCGGACAAACAGCAAACCTTTGAATCAAAGAAAATTTTTAATTTTATCTCTTAAACTACCGATTGTAGTCCTGATCATAATTGTGCCATTATTGCAGAGAGGTTCCACATGTTCACATTACAGGACAGGCACGCGATCTTGGAGATCAAACAGATCAGAGCGGAAGTGGAGACAGAGAATAAATTATCAAATATTGTAACTTGAGTGATGATTTAGAAACTTGAGTGCGTTACATTATAGCTTATTATAGCTAATGAAATAGTTAATCGTTGTTTGCTGTTTGTCCGGCTTTAGCAATATAGTAGACGAGCACTTGAACACTCATTTCTTAATTCACACATAGGAATACTAAAGCCAAAAGGTAAATGACAAACTTTCTCTAAATAGTTCTGCCAAAATAAATAAAACCTGTCGGGCAAACAACATCAGGCTTTTTGGATTTTTTTCTTTTTTCCAATGTTCTCGTATTAATTTTGTAGGCTCGTAAGACATAAGCGATGGTATTTGTAGATGTTTATTGTCTTTGACTTTCAGTTTGGCTAATTACTTGATTGGTTATTGATTTTTATTCACTGTTACGTACAAAATCATCAGAGATACACGGGTCTCCTTTTCAATAAAGTCGACGCAGTCAAGCAAGTTTTTTTTTTAATATCTAGTGGAAAGTTTTGCTCCAAGTTGTGAGTTATGGTTTGTTCAAAATAACTGAGTACACGGAAATTTGACTCAAGCACTAAGACGCAGGGTACCTCGTTTTATGTTAGATACCATTTAGCGATTTTTCGTAACAGAGAAAAATTGTTTAATACGCTAAATATTTATGTTTGTACCCTTCCGTTTTCTACAAATAGAAACATTTTAAATTTTCTCACTATTAAATGTGTACTTCTACCGAATGAAAAAAATTAATAAAAGCTTTTTGTAAATGTTGTTTGCGTTGGTCAATTAACTGATTGGCAGCTTAATGACCTAATTTATCATAAAGGTTAGTTTCTATCAATGTGATGCTACCACTGCTCCGCAACTTAAATCCGATACACACTGCATGGATAAATCAACAATTATTTTAAATGTGCTCCGTTGTTCTAAAAATAGAAAAATGGGCACTCATGAAATTCAGTCTGTGTGGTATGAGAGTTTATGAAAAGGAAAGAAGAAAATGACAATAACTGTCAGTGAATCAAATTAGCATGGAATAATCATATTAAACTTAAAAGATTCGATGATAACTGGAGCCAAGATTTTTTTGGGTTCGGCGGAAAATCATGGAAGGTAACTGATATTCAAGTAAGATGTGTTTTAAGGGGATTTACGGAGAACTCTGACGAATAGATTTTAAAAGTTTAATCATCTCGAGGCAAAACTTCCCAAGATGGACAAGGCCGGATCGAAAGATACTATTTTAATCGAAGTTTGTAATAAACACAGAGTTTGAACTATTGCATGCCCTTATAATTACCCAAACCAAGGTGACAGTAGTTTGTAATAAATAGTAACCAAAGGGAAGAAATCATTTATCCAAGGGAAATTATTTCCATTTGAGGAAAGTGTGTTATAGCTTAAATGTACAAAATGTCAGACAAAATCGTCCATGTAGTTTTCAATGTATTTAATGATGAAAATATTTTCCCCTTTAAATCAGCCCTCCTGAAGGACTTGGATCCGCTCACAATCCGGCAAAATCCTGCGATGAAATCTATCATTCAATATCAGCAGGTGTTCAAAGTGGGGTTTACTGGCTCCAGGCTGCTCGCGGCAGCCCATACCAGGTTAGTGTCCTAGCATTCATGATAAAGAGATAAAGTCCCATGACCTTTGTCTTCCTTCTATAATAGTGAACCATAATAGGCAATCTTGTTTTTTTTAATATCACGAACTTTCTCTTAGAATCTTTTTGAAATGTGATTTATTTAGAGAAGTAATTTTTATAATTCTTTTCATTAAATCTTTTGATCACTTGTATAACTAGTAAGGATAATACTCTATATGAAATGCTTAGGCACATTGCGAAATTATCACATCGGCGTGTAAAGACAATGGAGGCTGGACACTAGTTGCACGAGTGGCTGGAATGTCCGGAGATTTCTCACCCACAAGTCCTCTCTGGGCCAATGAGGATGTAGTTAGCCCCTGGGATGCAGCTGACATTACAAAAACAACATCTATGAAAAATCCCGGTTGGTTCTCTGTACCAAATCGAGTTATGCGCATATGCTACAGCGGTCCTCGTAGTGACTGCGCGACATTCACCCACAACAGAGGTCTGACTCTTACCCAGCTCTTCGCAACTCAGTTCGCAGTAGAAGTTCAAGAGGAGTACACTTTTGAAACGTTGATGAAAAAACTTGGCAAACACTTGGACTTGGGGCACCTAAAAACTGTAAGTTAATCGAATCAAAATCATATTCGCTAGACTGGTAAACTATGCTTGTTTTTAAACTATGCAGTGTTAAGCTTTTTGTTTGCCTTAGGGTTATAGGGCATTTTCAAAAGAAAGATTTTATCTTAATTTAAAACTAAAGAAAAAAGAGCATCAACTGTTGTCATAAAGTGAAGAGATTATGAAATGGATTACAAGCAAATAACTCAACAGTATAAAATTGACAGTTCGCAATTTTCCTTACATCCACACTTCCATAATTGTGTCTTGCAAGGAATGGTGCGGCCTCAATTTAGGAAATCTTTGTAACTTGGTAGCGGATCCAAATAAGGAGCCTGGAACTCATGTCTGTCGCATAGGCTGTATTGGTGACACCAGTCTTCCTCGATCACCTAATGGCTGCAACCCTGACGACTATTCACTTGGGATCGGTGTGTCAAGCTGCAACTCTCCACACGGTTGTCACGGTCACGTGTCAACAACAAGTAGCTTGCACTTTAGTATGTATTCAAGATATGGGGATTATCAACAAACGGCATTCATTTATGTAAAATAAATCAAAACTTAGTTTGGCTATCCTTTGATCAAACATACAATATCGCCGTACCAACTCATTTTCAATTAGAACGTCATAAACTTTCTTTATTTACCTCTCTACCATACGAGATATTTACAATTTGAAGGAAAGAATAGAGAAACTAACCAGCTGAAAAAATATCAGGCTGCAAAGATATTTTCCAAAATACATGTCTGCAATACAACAAAAATAAAAATATCAAAGCTTACAACCAGTTTACTGATATAATCAGTCATATGCAGGAGAAAGCTTATTTTTGTTTGTTTTTTAAGTAAAATTGCATTTTGTGCGACTTGTAAGAGTTCGTGTAAAACTAATAATCTATTATATGAAAGATACTTCGATGCTTTTCTAAGGTTTTGTCAATAGCATACAAGGTTTTCATGCATTATCCCTTTATTTTCACTCTTAAGCTAAATCAAGCCAGAGCCTCACCAGTCGTAAATTGATACATGTTACTCTCAATTTTACTACATTTTGTGGGAAATATGAGCTATTCCATACATTGAGACTATCAAGGGAGAGTAAATTCAGCTATTGATTTTGAAAGTAATTTTATATAATGTGGGATTATTCTCTTCTTTGTGAAGTTTTTGTTTAGTTAAGAGTCGCGGTGCCTTGGTGTGAAACTCTGTCTCAAGCATTAAATAAAAATACAAGCGTCTCCGTGTCTTTTCTTTATTGAGAAACAAGTTTTAAATCTTACAAACGCAATTTCAACTACAGGAGCTTTACACTGGCATATTTTCGGAGGCAATTTATTCGTCAAATCCGGGGCATTTGCTCGACTTGTGAACTGGATTGTTTCAATGACTTCCCAACCTGCCAATGAAAAAGCCCTTGAAGCGAAGTTATCCTGGTGTTAACTGGGCGTTCGCCGATTTTCGGAGGGGTTGTTCGTTGTCTTAAATTTAACGGAAGTCATCCACTTTCAAGTGCAAATTGTTCTTGCAGCTTTCAGGTTTGAGATTTCAAAACTTCACTGTGTCCATTTTCGGGGACTCGTCAAGACTTTTCAACATTTTTATTTCGAATTTCGTATATCTGCGGCTCAACATAAGCCCATGTTCAGGTGCTGTACGGCACTGAGATGGTAAGTAAAGAATTATAATAATTTTCTGATATTAATCTGTTTTAAGATCGGTTTGTTTGCTTGATAACTTAACAAGAGTGACCTAATAATTTTAAATAAACAAAATAATTGATCAATAAAAGATGAATTGAAGAAATAAAATATGTTAATTACTAATAACAGTAATTAACTCTTGAAGAAATAACGTCATCGAGCATGTTCTAAGAAAATTTCTTAGCAATAACTTCACCTCCGATTCTTCGCAGAGTGCTGCTCCTGAGGAAAATTGTTTATATTTTATATTACCGTACATCGGTCCTTTTTCCATCACAAAACAACGCAGAATCAAGAAATTAGTCGGCACATTTTCCAACGACCTTGACATTAAGTTGGTGTTCACCCCATTTAAAATTAAGAGTTGGTTTGGAGTCAAGGATCCTATCCCTGCGGGTTTACGATTGCGAGTTATTTATAAGTTTTCATGAGCAGGCTGTCGTGCCTGTTATGTTGGTGAAACCAACAGACACGTCTCTACTCGCATCCGCGAACATCTCTCCTCTGACAAACATTCCCACATCTTTAAGCACTTGAGAGGTTCTGAAATTGTCGCTCCCTTTGTTTAGAAGATTGTTTTAAAATTCTGGACTCTGCTTCCACACGCTTCCAATTGAATATTAAGGAAGCCATGCACATCTTTGGGAGCAGCCGTCTTTAAATTCTCAGGTCAAACATCTTAATTTATCCCTTTCATACTAATTGGTCTTCCTTCTTAGCTTAAATAGTTTCACTTTTGTTGTTTTTGTTTTACCTAATTACTCTTGTTAACAGCTCACATTGTTATACTAATCATTGCGTAATTTCATTTTATTTTTCATTACACAACTAAAGATGGTTGATGTTTAAACATGTTTTGTTTTCATTAAAAAGCATGGTGGGGTTCATCAAAGCGATATCTTACTTCGTGCTGCTACATAGCCTTGAAGAAATAAAGAAATAAAGAATAAATAGGAAGATGAGTAAATATGTAAGTAAATTGGTAAATAAATATAATTTTATCGTATGACTAATATATTCGTGATTTTTTCAGTAGAATATCAAAATGAAATACAACGTTGTCCTTAAAGTTTCCCAGGTATTTTTTCTCACAAGACCTAGTTTTCCCGAGACACCAGCTGACCTCTGGAAAGACACAAGTAACCACAGGGTCGCCAGTGATCCATGGCTGAATTTGTAACAATAGAGCAGGACTGGAATGTTTGATGAAAAGATAATCATAACAACAACCTAAGCTACAGCTACGAGGAGAATCCAAAGCTAGGACATAACCACAGTTACGTTAAATTTCTGAGTAATGGAAATAAATGTCAGTCGAAGTAGATTGACTTCCACTCACAAAAGCCCTCATAAAAGGTTGATATAGAGCATAGCTAGTAAATCTTAAATTGAAAGGAGAACAGGTGTTCTTATCGCTTCCAAATTCGAGAATATGACTTCTTATGAGAGATGTAATGGCGAAATAAGTAAAATTATTGTACATTAATCTAAGCACTATGTAGTGTAGTATGGTATAGTATAGTATAGCATAGTATAGTACAGTATAGTAAAGGAGTTACAGTTGTCTCAAGTTGGCTAGAAAGAATATAAGTAAAAGTGGCCATTTTTTTTTTCAATTCGAGAGCTTGAAACATTTTAAAATTACTGCAGTTTAAGAAAAGCCCATTTTCGGGGGCCGTGCATCACTGAGAAGGTAAGTAAAGAGTTATTATAACGTTGTGATACTAACCTGTGAAAGATGGGTTCGCTCGCTGATAGGAAAGCCCCGATGCGTCGCATCGACCAGTCGAAGAAAAAAAATTGGTATCCATCAACTCTACAGATCATTTGAAGGAGGTAAGGCTGGCATGTCTCGATTGTAACAAGTTTTGTGGCTCACTTCAGATCACATTATAAAGAAGTAAGGCATCGGACGCTTCCGAGGTAACATGTAACCATTTATGAAAATTATTTTTCGTTTTGGACAATCTAAAAGTTTCTGTTTACAGAATCTGTTCGGCGGCTTCCTGACTCATTACTTCATTACACGAGGTGACATGTTTGATATTTCAACACTTTTTTGTATCCTAACAATTAGGGCAATCCAGAGCAGTCCTTCCAAGTTAAGTTCAGTGCCACGCAAAAGTATCCTGTGTGGTCTAGTCCAGTAGACTACATCTACGTGCGATACATTTCGGTGCATATCAGTCCCGTGAAGTGCAGTGAACTGCTGTCCTGTATGGTGCTTTCCATTTAAATCCAGGAAGTGTAGTGTGGTGCAGTTTGGTAAAGTCAAGCTCAGTCTAAAACAGTCCAGTCCAGTGAAGTGCAGTGCCTTCTAGTCCAGTCCACTCAGGTGCTGTCCAGTACTGTCCAGTCAACTGAGGTGTAGTCCAATCCAGTTAAGTCCAGTCCAGTCCATTCAGTTAAGTCTGGACTGTCTAGTACAGGACAGTTCAGTCCTGTCCTCGTCCAATTCCGTTCAGTCCCGTCCAGTCAAGTGCATTTCAATCCGCAACACCCCAGGTCCATAAAAGCAAACTGCAGTCGAGTCTAGACCTGTCAACTTCAGTGCAGCGTAGTGCAATCCATAACACCTCAGTCCAGTCCCGTCCAGTCCAGAACAGCCAACTGCTGTCGAGTCTAGTGCAATGCAGCCCGGCTCAAGTTAGGTACAACCTCTTGCAGTGCGGTCCTGTCTATTCGAGCGAAGTGCTATTCAGAAAAGCCGACATTCAAGTCCAGTTCAGAGAAGTTCCAGTCCAGACCAGTCCAGTCTTCGGTTGTCACACCAACCCGTTGAAGGGCGTCTACATACACTGTCGCAGACAGCTATTTTCAAATGATAGCTTAAAAAGAAAAAACCCAATAACTTGAAATAAACAAAAATAATTGATCAATAAAAGATAAAATGAAGAAATAAAATTTATCTTAATAACTAATAACAGAGACTTTTTTAAATTAAATTCTTAAAGAAATGATGGATAAATAGGAAGATCAATAAATATGTAGATAATCTGATAAATACATGAATTAGTAAATAAACAATATCAAAATGAGACGCAAAGTTGTCTAAAAACTTTTTCTAGGTTTTTTTTCCACAAGACCTAGTTTTCTCGAGATACCAGCTTACCTTTTGAAGGACAGAAGGCAATCACAGGGTCACCAATGGTTCATGGCTGAATTTGTAACACTGGAATAGCAATAGAACAGGCCGGAAGTGTTCAATAAAAAGATTAGCATAACAATAAGCTGAGCTACTGCTGCGAGGAGAACCCACGATACGGCGCGCGGTCCAACCCTCTATGAGAGCTTTATGGAACCGAGATAGATCTCTTAAATTTAATTCCAAGCGATCGTTTAACGAGCGTTTCATATGAACTTTAAGGGGTGGTCGGAGTCCTTACTCACCCATCCATTCCCCTCTTTGGAGTTAAAATTGCACGCGCTTAAAACACCAACGACGGTGATTTAATACAACAGTTGAATTACGGCGAAATAAGTGAAATTAATACACATGCGCCTACTTATTATATAGAATGGGAGTTAAGGTTGTGTTGACTTTGCATGAAAGAATATAAAGGAAAAGCAAGCATTTGTTCGATCTGAGAGCTTGGAACGTTTTGAACTGATACTAACGATAACCTTTACGAAAAGGCTATTAATATAATGCAGAGAGAGTTCTGAATGTTCCTGTACAACTTATCGACTTAAAATTACCGTGGTGACATCATTTTAAAACTCGGTTGAGCACTGTTAAAAAAATACTGGTCTACTGATGTGGGGGTTTTGATTTCGTCATTAAAAAAGAAGTAGTTAATTATCGTTTTTAGTGTGTTGTAGTGATGAAGTGACTTCAAATTGAAAGTTCAGTAAATTCTTTGAAGATAAAAAGTTTCCGCTTTTAATCAGATATCAAAAAATGCGGCTGTACATTTTATTAGTTGAAAAATGTTTTTTTTATCTGCTCATTTAAAATTCAATAAAAAGAATCGTCAAGAAAAACACGATGAGAGACAACAC